CTTTCAATGATACTGAAAGAGGCTCTAGATAAAATATTGAAATGAAGTTAAGCCTTCACACAAGTTCTATCATATCATAATTTACTTCGCCATGATTAAAGCATACTTTAAATGTTGGTGGAGGTATACTTGAAAGTATTGTGGCAAAGTAACAGTTGAAAATTACCCGGTAGTAGAATAGTAGATTATTTTAAGCTTATTTTTAGTCCCTCATTATGGAAAAATAAAGGTAGGGTAGTTTTTTTTTGGTTGCTTTGGTTGATAATCGACTTCCTCCTAAATACGTAAGGGGATGGGTGGGTATAACACCTAAAACATGCTCTGTAAAGCTATGGGCTAGTGTAAAATACACATTCTAATGCAAAAACTATACATGTAGACATAACTTTTTGATTTAGCACACAGTATTCATTACATTTCTTAATTTTTGTTTTACTTCACCCTTTTACCCAGTTCTGAGTATATTTTTCAGAGAATTTAATATGAAAATCAAAACAAACATTTTCATTTTTGTAACGTCTTCTTTATACTGTATCATAATATGAAAAGTTAATTGAAGGCCATTTCTTTTTATGTCCCTGTAATCGAAGATTCGGGGATATATAGTTTTATCGTGTCCGTCTGTATGTCTGTCTGTCTATCTGGCGGTCTGTTTTCTCCGCAAAAACTTTAACCTTGACCATAACTTTTCATTTATTGTAGCTATGCCTTTCATATTCAATATGTGTATATTCCTTGTGACAAGACCTTTCTTTGGGTACCACCAAACTTGACCTTTAACTTGGAGTTTGTCCCATTTTACAAAAAAAAAAAATGCCAAATTTTTAATTTACTTTGGCAAAAACTTTTAAACGGTAGATACTAGTACTCTCATAATTCACAAATGTAATCCTTGTTACATTAAACCTTTCTTAAGAAACCATCAACTTTGACCCTTTGACCTTTGAGTTTGACCTACCTTTCAAACACTTATTCTTAGCCAGTGGTGCTGGGGCTTTCCTATTTTGCAATTGTATTTCTTGTGAGAAGACCCTACTTTGGGTACCATTATATTTAAATTGCATTTGAGAAAAGTTTAATCTTCGCTATAGCTGTTTCACAAATTCATCTTTTTATATATAAGAGGAGTTGCGGATAACAGATAGATACCCCAAAGCGTAACAGACGGACGGACGGACGTCCCGATCACTATATACCCTCCCGCTTTTCAAGTGGAGGATATAATAATATATGATACTGCTGATTTTTTTCTGTCAGTACGATGATTTCCACCATCGAAAAATAATGTTTACCTAACCCTTTTAGGCTCGATAAATCTTTACTCCTTTAGATTCTGAATTATAGCATTGACCTTAAAATATAGCTATAATTGTGTAATGTTATGAGATCAACATATCATCAATTTATTCCAAATAAGATCAGGTGAGCATTTTGGCCAATATGCGTCTTCATCTAATTTTTTTTTTGCCCCCTTAAAATTTCAGCTTTAATCCACAGGGAGTCATTTTTCTTCACGTGGGTTCTGCAAATTTTTAGGGTGGTGACACTTTTTCTACGGGCAAAAGGGTCATTTTTCTACGTCGAATAATGACCGGGGGTCATTTTTCGTCTTTACACCGGCTCCTGCTCTTCTCCATGCGATATGAATGGTTTGTTAGGGTTGACCTTGTCAAAAAGTATTTTCCGAAGTTGAGACCTGGTTATTCTGCACATAACCACCAAGAGTTACAAAATTATTTATATTTGATGCCATGGATAGAGCTAATATGCACTCCTGTCCAGCAAAGCTGTTGGGTTGACCTAAATAATTGATATGCTCTTCAGGTGTACCTTTGCCCTAAAGAAAATGGGTTTGAAATAAAACATACTACCTCAAAGTGTGTCCACTGCGAGATTTGTGAGATGGAAATGGTAACCTTGATGACCATACAGATTACAGAGAAAAACTGATATACAGAGCGGAAGAGGCAATTACCATCACCTACAATTGTATTCCATTACACTTGCATGTTAGGCAAGACATAGGAAATAGCATTCTGCTCCGATCGTAGTGGTTTCACTAGACTAACTTAAGGTATATGAAATAAGCTTAAGATTAAATGAAACATTGTTAAATATTTCTTATCTCTTTATTAAATATCCGTCTGTGAATAGACTGGTGTTCTTGATCACAGATGCTTAAGGACAGGACCCCACTCCCCCCCAATATAGACCCCGGGGCCTGTTGGACTTTTTTTTAAAATAAATTATATATGGATGACATATTTGTGATATAATCTATCCCATAATTCAGAAAAATTGCTTAAATTAGCATTTATAAAAATTTCTACCCACTCTCTATATATAAATTAACAAGGTTGCCAACTTCGACTGCAAACCGAGAGGCACTGCCGAGAATTTTGGTTGAATCGTATCGTAAATCAAAACAAAGCCCTAAAATCAACAACTCATATTGAAGATTAAATTTCTTTTCATTAAACAGCAACTCTCATGAAGGTTAAGGCACTTCAACAGTCGTGATGGCCAGTTTTCCACAAGGATGTCTGGCTTCAGTCAGCGTTTTTGCTTGGTGAACAGAAGTGACGAGGAGACGGCTTTTTACCGAAATACACAGTTCCGCAGAAAGTCTGAAACACTGTTTTGAAAGAAACATTTGAAGAAATTTGGTTGATATACACTTTAAAAAATGTTTTTCAAATGTATTGGAAGAATAGAGTTCTAAACCGCTGATGTAAATGAAATGTTTCTAATTATTTTTCAGATACCTGATTTGCATGTATCGGTTTTGAGAGTTAAATATGCAATTTATTAAAATACCAAGTCTTTTCCTCAAATATTTCGTGTAAAATCTACAAAACGTTTGGAAATAAAATTTTGCTGAAGAATTCGTACAAAAAACAAGAATACATCTATTGTTGATGTCTTACACGCATATTTGGTTGTATGGGGAACATGGGGAATAAGTCCTCTCCTCATTACTTCCGTTCAATAAGCTTTTTTACTGAGTTGGCAACCTTGTTGATTTTAAATATATAGAATGTAGGGTAGATTTTTTAGAACGTTTGTTTTAGGTAATTCTTTGATTTGTTGGTATAGATCTTATCACAAATATGTCAATGTCAGAAAGATTATTTATGAGAAAAAAGTCGTAAAAGCCCAGGGGTCTATATCAAAGGGGGGAGAGGAGAGGTCTCCTGTCCTCAAGCACCTGTGTTCTTGATAAACAAAGGTCCCCTGTCATTTTAGAAGTTTGATTGATTGTATGTTGTTTTACGTCCCATTTTACTCACATGGAGAATTCACCAAGCACTTGTGAAGGGCTTTAAATTTTTTTTTTGGCTCTACTGGTCAGAAACCAGAAGAGCTTCTGTCCGTCTGTCTGTCTGTAAACAATTTTTCGAAATGCCACTCCTCCTACAGTTTTGGTCTGATTTCAATATAAATTAGCACACAAGTAGACTGCATTAAGATACATAATTCTTTGTATCGATTTTTGATTTCGAAGAACTGTGTTGCCATGGTTACTAAAAATAGAAATTTCTGTGAAATACTTTTAAAATGCTACTCCTCCTACAGTTTTGGTCTGGTTTTTAGCCCTTCTGGTCAGAGACCAGAAGAGCTTATGCGATAGTAATGCGTCCGTCCGTCCGTCTGTCTGTAAACAATTTTTCAAAATGCTACTCCTCCTACAGTTTTGGTCTGATTTCAATATAACTTGGCACACAAGTACACTACACTAAGATACATAATCCTGTGTATCGGTTTTTGATTTCGATGAACGGTGTTGCCGTTGTTACTAAAAATAGAAATTTCTGTGAAATTCTTTCAAAATGCTACTCCTCCCACAGTTTTGGTCTGATTTCAATATAACTTGGCACACAAGTAGACTACACTAAGATACATAATTCTGTATATCGGTTTTTGATTTCGATGAACGGTGTTGCCATTGTTACTAAAAATAGAAATTTCTGTTAAAAACTCTCAAAATTCTACTCCAAATACAGTTTAAGTCTGATTATAATATTATGTGGCATGCAAGAAGACTACACTAAGAACATAAAGAGACTTAATCAAGCATCATTATTCTTTTTATTGCTGTGGTAAAGTTTTAATTCCCAACTGCTTAAGAACTTTTCTCTTACTTTGCTATAAGTACACATCAGTAGAGCTTCAGTCTCCACAGAGACTTCTGGTAATACAACATAGACTACACTAAGATACATAATTCTGTGTATCAATTTTTGATTTCAATGAACGGTGTTGCCTTTGTTACTAAAAATAGAAATTTCTGTGAAATACTTTTAAAATGGTACTCCTCCTACAGTTTTGGTCTGATTTCAATATAACTTGGCACATAAGTAGACTACACTAAGATACATAATTCTATGTATCGATTTTAGACTTCGATGAACAGTGTTGCCTTTGTTACTAAAAATATAAATTTCTGCGAAATACTTTCAAAATGCTACTCCTTCTACAGTTTTGGTCTGATTTCAATATAACTCGGCACACAAGTAGACTACACTAAGATACATATATAATTCCGTTTACTAATTTTTGACTTCGACGAACGGTGTTGCCTTTGTTACTAAAAATAGAAATTTCTGTGAAATACTTTTAAAATGCTACTCCTCCTACAGTTTTGGTCTGATTTCAGTATAACTTGGCACACGAGTATACTACACTAAGATACATAATTCTGGTTTATTCCCTGAACGTCTAAAACCTATATAAACAGTATAATTATCACACTCAATTAAGAGGCCCTCTGAGGGGTACAGGTAGACTTTACCTGTGTTTCATGTGTTTTCTTGATTTATCAGTCTAAATCAGATAAATTTATTTATTTTTCTGATAAAGAATATTACCAAACCACAATTTATTTGAATTATTTGATTAATTAACTATAATTCAAGACACCAAACAAGTGTTTTCTCATATAAATATTTTTTTTTCAGCACTATGACACAATATATTTAAAGTGATAACCAGTTTATTATTTACAAATATGATGGTCTGATGGTTCCGCCGACTTGTCTCTGTAAGATTTCATTGGCATTCTGAATGTCTTTGAACAACTTGATCACTGTAAATATGTTGGGGTGAGCATGCTGAACCATTCTCTTTATCTTGCTGTGCCATCCTTCCAGACTGTTGTTCGTTCTCGGTCCGTCCGTGCCGAAATGGTTCCACAAAAGTCGGTCACCATTCACCCACTGCTCTGTCACATAGTCTGTAAAGTTTTGTGTCAGCTCTGTAAGGTCAGCTTCATCTCGGTCTTCCAGGGCTGTAAACCATACATCTTCTATGCAGTCGAGGGGAACTAGAGGCAGAACAGCTGCTCTTCGAACCAATGTCTTGACGTCGTCATTCTCTTTGTACGGAATCTGTAATCCAGTCTGTTGCGCTCTTCGCCATACCGCCTGTGTGAAGTGGAAGAAGCAGCCCTTTGTGTTGACTCCAGGAAACACTTGTCGAATGGAATTGTGGATAGCTGTCTCGAAGTCAGCGAGGGCGTTGGTAGGACAAAACTGTAGTCCAAGGTCGTTGATTTTTTCTAGCAGAGTTGAGAAGAATCTGGTGTAGATCGCTTGACTCTTGCCGGGTAAGAGGGCGTAAACAACTGGTGTCATCACATCGTCAATCCGCACATGGATGCTGAAGATTTGTTGGAAGAGGCTGGGACAGGTGTAAAATGTACCATCACAGAAGAAGGTCTCGGATGCTGCAAGGTCTCTAAGGTTGTCAGTAGTTGCAAAGGTGATGGTTCTGGTGTTCTGGAATGTGTCGTCTAGGAGTAGGAATTGTTGACCAGTCTCTGTCTCTGTCCATTTTCCTTCCAGTCTGATGTCTGTAAGTGTTTTTGGGAGTGGGGGTGTCTGTTTCCGGCGGGCTCTGTACAGCGATGATTTTGCAGTGTTGAAGGTTGGCAAGTTCTCGATGACCTCTTTGCTGGTGTCGTCCCACTGGGCATCTCGAAGGGAGTTGAGCTCTTCTGTAAAGATGGACGGGATGGGTTTAACTTCTTCTGCGCATCGCTTGGTGATAGAATTCATTATTTGTTTGGATGGGTATGCTGCTGTCTTCCGAATCCAACCGGGATGTTGTTCTCCGTTGATAAATAGGCTGAACAACCTTCTACGATGCATTTCCAGTAGAGCTTTGTCTCTGTTCTGCGATGAATAATTCGGTAGATGTATCCATGAAGAGCTAAGTTGTGACCACCTTTTCTGTTTGTGATGTACGTAACGTTCAGCTGTGCATTTGCCATTGTTCTAGGTGTAGATGAAGACTGATGCTGTGGTGAATTTCCGTCTTGTATATATACCGTTTTGTAGCTTGTGTGTGTTTTTTATTCACAGCTTGGACCATGGCTTGGACGAATTCAGAGCATCATTGACAGTAATTTCGTTTCATCTAACTTTCAAAGTGAACTGATCTTACCAGCCTCATTAACAATTATTCATAATTTATGTTGTTAGTTGAAATTATAATCAAAATTCACAGTAAAGTGATTTGTTTTCAAATCATTGAATAAATCATTTTCACAAATACATAAGATTAATTATCTTAAGATTAAGTTTTATCATGAAAACTTAAAATGATTTGAAAATGATACACTGTAATTACATTGCATGTATTCAGAGTAAATTCAGAGAAAAAATTTAGGTAAAAACGAACATGAAAATTTTTTAAGCACCATAACAAAATAACTGAATTCAACTGATGGATTAAAAAAATATCTAGTCTAGATTACTTCTAAAAGAAAACGAAAGATTTTTTTGTCTTTTTAAATATGTTAAATGCATTTAGATATATTAATATATTTTAATGTTAAAATATTAACATTTTGATTAAAAAATAAATAGAATTAAAGATTAATTATCACAATAAAATAACCTTTTTTTTTAAATAAAATAAATACTTTGAAAATTTTTTGAGTAAAAAACATTTAAAAATTTGAATAACATTTAATTTATTTTATAGGAGTTATTGCTAAGATTTCCCCTAAAAAAGTCTTTTATTATTTTTTGTATTTTATTCATACAGTTTAAAACACAGATAACATGGGTAAACTCTACCTGTGCCCCTTAGAGGGGCCCCTTAATTGAGTGTGATAATTATACTGTTTATATAGGTTTTAGACGTTCAGGGAACACACCATAATTCTGTGTATCCATTTTAGATTTCAATGAACCGTGTTGCCGTGGTTACCATAACTTTGCACACGAGTAGACTACACTAAGATACACAATTCTGTGTATCGATTTTTGATTTCGAGGAATGATGTTGCCATGGTTACTAAAATTGAAAATACTATTAAAGTTTATTAATAGCTACTCTTAAAGGTGTAGTCTTATTGCAGTATCTTGCCACGAAAAGAGTTCAATCAAGCATCATTATTCTATTTATTGCTGTTGTAAAGTTTTAAGTCCCAACTGCTACTTTTGCCTTCGTTTGTTATAAGTACAAACCAGTAGAGCTTCAGTCTCGACAGAGACTTCTGGTTACCTTTACCCAGCACCAAGGGCCAATGAGCAGTGGGGATCTTTATCGTGCCAACGCCTGTCGTGACCTCGGGTTTTTAAGATTACGGAAGACCTCATTTCTGAAAATGAGTTTCTTGAATTTTAGACTACTTACATGTATTAGCTATATAAGAAATACGTGTATTAGCTATATAATAAATACAGTACATATGCTTTTAATAATCACAGTCGAATATGTCCGGGAAAGAAGAAGTATAATATTTACCTTTGAGAAATATTTTTTTGATGGATTGAATACTCAATATGACTACTTTTGAAAAAAAATTTTGTTCAATAATTCAACTAAAATTCTTTACAATTCGTACAAGAATGCAAAAGTTGTAATATTTAGAGTCATGTAACTTCTGCGGGACAGTGAACAGTGCTGCGTTCATATATTGATTGTATTCTTTCATTTTTAGCCGGGCTTATTGCTCAAAGAGAAATTGCCGGCTTCTGGCATCCTGTTCAAGGCAGGAAGTCAACCCCATAGTCGCCATTTTAAAGTTACGAGTAAAAATATAGTTCTTGCTCTCAACCGCTGTTGAGATAATACAAACGCTAAATAAAGCAACAAAAACTAGAGGTACTGTGAGCAATGGGCTCACTAAATGATACCCCCCGCCTCCCATAATGTCTATGTGTTGCTATATATTGTTTTACGGTAATGTGTAAAGAGGAATAACTCGTCCTATCAAATGTTATCCAGAAGCTTCTATAATGTGACGTCATAGGTTAACATATAATGGCAATGTCCATGTTTTGCTATGGGAAACCTAAAATACGTGTCGAATAAAGAAGTAAAATAGGAGGTGCACAATGGCAATATGTAATAAAGATTCTGTGAAAGTTTCATTAAATTTCACTCAGTAGTATAAGAGGAGTTGCGAATAAGAGATAAAGCGTAACAGACTGACGGACGGACGTACAGACACTATATACCCTCCCACTTTTCAAGCGGGGGTATAATAAAACGAAGTTTTATCTTTATAAAACATAAGTAGTAATGACTTTGAAAACTTCAGTTCTAAGTCAAAGAACATACAGTGTAGTTCATTAGCGTAAGGATTTTTGATAATCAGTGTTATCGTAGTTCTCTACACATACGAAGAAAAGCAGGAGAGGGAACCAGACTGGCCTGTTTGTTTACATTCAGCTGCGGTACCAGATTAATTCTGATTCTGACAAAATCGGACCGTGGTATTAGGATCGAAAAACTCACTGTCAGTGTCTTATCATTTATATTGATAGTTTTAAAATAATTTTTTTCATCAGAATATAAACGTATGATTCATGTAAGAAGTTCATTCTACTCTGTAAATGAGCCCGGCTCTCTGTACTTCTGAGTACTTTGATTAAAATTCTATTTGTATGCGTGCTTGATCAATTTTGTTCGTGTCAAAAACATTAAGTATAGAAATAATTTATTCGTTTTCAGGATTTCAACAGGATCGCAGCATTTTTAGCTCACCTGAGCCGAAGGCTCAAGTGAGCTTTTCTGATCAAAATTTGTCCGTTGTCTGTCTTTGTCGTTGTAAACTTTTCACATTTTCATCTTCTTCTCAAGAACCACTGGGCCAATTTCAACCAAGCTTGGCACAATGTATCCTTGGGTGAAGGGGATTCAACTTTGTTCAAATGAAGGGCCAAGCCCCTTTCCAAGGGGAGATAATCATGAATTTGTAAAAAATTAATGGCATTTTTCAAAAATCTTCTTCTCCAGAACCGCTGGCCCAGGAAAGATGAAACTCATGTGGAAGCATCCTCAGGTAGTGTAAATTCAAATTTGTTCAAATCATGACCCCCGGGGCAAGGGTGGGGCCAAAATGGCCGACCCAAGTCTTACATAGGAATATATAGGAATAATCTTTAAAATCTTCTTCTCCAGTACCATTGGGCCAGGAAAGATGAAACTCATGTGGAATCATCCTCAGGTAGTGTGGATTCAAGTTTGTTCAAATCATGACCCCCGGGGCAAGGGTGGGGCCAAAATGGCCGATCCAAGTTTTACATAGGAATATATAGGAAAAATCTTCTTCTCCAGAACAGCTGGGCCAGGAAAGATGAAACTCATGTGGAATCATCCTCAGGGAGAGCAGATTTAAGTTTGTTCAAATCATGACCCCCGGGGCAAAGGTGGGGCCAAAATGGCCGACCCAAGTTTTACATAGGAATATATAGGAAAAATCTGTAAAAATCTTCCTCTCCAGAACCACTGGACCAAGAAAGATGAAACTCATGTGGAATCATCCTCAGGTAGTGTAGATTCAAGTTTGTTCAAATCATGACCCCTTGGGCAAGGGTGGAGCCAAAATGGCCGACCCAAGTTTTACATTGGAATATATAGGAAAAATCTTTAAAAATCTTCTTCTCCAGAACCACCGGGCCAGGAAAGATGAAACTCGTGTGGAATCATCCTCAGGTAGTGCAGAATGAAGTTTGTTCAAATCATGACCCCCGGGGCTAGGGTGGGGCCAAAATGACCGACCCATGTTTTACATAGGAATATATAGGAAAAATCTTCTTCTCAAGAACCACTGGGCCAGGAAAGATGAAACTCATGTGGAATCATCCTCAGGTAGTGTAGATTCAAGTTTGTTCAAATCATGACCCCCCGGGCTAGGGTGGGGGCAAAATGGCCGACCCTAGTTTTACATAGGAATAATCTTTAAAAATCTTCTTCTCAAGAACAACTGGACCAGGAAAGATGAAACTCATGTGGAATCATCCTCAGGTAGGGTAGATTCCAGTTTGTTCAAATCATGACCCCCGGGGCAAGGGTGGGGCCAAAATGGCCGACCCTAGTTTTACATAGGAATATATAAGAAAAATCTTTAGAAATCTTCTTCTCAAGAACCACTAGGACAGGAAAGATGAAACTCATGTGGAATCATCCTCAGGTAGTGTAGATTCCAGTTTGTTCAAATCATGACCCCTGGGGCAAGGGTGGAGCCAAAATGGCCGACCCAAGTTTTACATTGGAATATATAGGAAAAATCTTTAAAAATCTTCTTCTCCTGAACCACCGGGCCAGGAAAGATGAAACTCATGTGGAATCATCCTCAGGTAGTGCAGATTCAAGTTTGTTCAAATCATGACTCCCAGGGCTAGGGTGGGGCCACAATGGCCGACCCAAGTTTTACATTGGAATATATAAGAAAAATCTTTAAAAATCTTCTTCTCAAGAACCACTGGGCCAGGAAAGATGAAACTCATGTGGAATCATCCTCAGGTAGTGTAGATTCAAGTTTGTTCAAATCATGACCCCGGGGGCTAGGGTGGGGCCAAAATGGCCGATCCAAGTTTTACATAGGGATATATAGGGAAACCTTTTAAAATCTTTAAAAGCTATGATTAGTGATATTTATATGGAATCATCCTCAGGTAGCGTAGATTCTAGTTTGTTCAAATGATGAACGCCTGGAAGGGGGGGGGGGAGTAAATTCAAGCCTGATGTGCTCAGGTGAGCGCTGTGGCCCCTGGGCCTCTTGTTTATTTTTAGTCTTAAATGTCTGAAAATAATATTTTTGAAATTCTTCAGTTATTAAAAGTTAAATAATTGTACCCCTGCTCCAAAGGAGAGGGGGTCATACTGTCATGCGTGTCTGTCCGTAAAAAAT